GAGGGTAATTTGGTTTTTTGCTCCTCCTAAAATATCATTTTGTCCTTAGTTGTCCTAACCTCACCCACGTTGAGCCTAGGGGTGCAGTCTGCCCCCTTTCCCCCTTAAAAAAAGAGGTCGACTCCGCTCGCGACTAGCATGCATAAAGGATAATTCAAAACATTCATTTAATGATATTTAATAGTAAAAGGGGTAACCAGTCTGTTAATGTATCTATGTTGTCACCTAGTTCGGTCCATTTCAAGTAAGAACTAATATGGTTATTTAGCAATTGTTTAGTTGTGGTTTGGTTATTTTGTAATATATAAATAGTACAGGCCATGTACTTCCTTCGATGTGGTTTTAATATAGAGTTAATTTTATTCTTTCTCTTCTTCTTCCCTGCTTTCATTTTATTTCATGGCATCATAGTTCAACCTCTCGACAAACTATCTCCCTCTTGCACGTTCTATTGCTCCCCTCAACGAATTCTTCTTAGTGAATTCTTTTGCTAAGTGAGTTCTGTCTGGCATGTTCGTCTGTTGCAATCTTCTTATAGGTGTTTCTCCTCCATTTCATTTCTCCCCGCTTGTTGTCCTTGTCCTTTATTCATGTCATCCTGAACAATTTGTGTCTCAATCTTTCTAGGTAATCTACTAAGGAAAGCTTTCTTTATTTTAACTTCATTAGTTTTTTCTTCTTCTCTGTTTTACTGTTTCTCTCATGAGCAACCACTTTAACTACTCCATTCACATTGAGATGTCCATCAATTCAAGCAATTCCCTTCACGCTGATCACCTTATTCCTATCCAACTGAAATTTATGTTGGGTAATATTAAAAATGTCATCTCAACGGCCCTTACCGTTGACAATCATCCCATTTGGAAGGCACAAGTGCTAAAATTATTCCGTGCCAATGGGTATGATGAATTTCTTGATGGCTCTTGTTATTGTCCTAATAAATGCATCCACTATTCTTTAAGAACTAATATACCTAACCCTGATTATAGCAAATGGATCTTTATGGATCAAAATCTCACTGCTGCCATTTAATCTGTTGTCTTGCCATCCATCCTACCCTATTTTCTTAATCTTGAAAATTGTGCAAAACATGGAAACAATTCACACCCTTTTGCATGATGTTTATTTACCTACTCATCTATGGGTTGATACTCTACTCACTGCCTATTTTTTTATTAATCGCTTACCCACAATAACTCTTCAATATAAATTAAAAAATGAATTTTTATTTGATAAACATCTAATTTTTCAACACTTAAAAAATATTTGGTTGTCAATGTTTTCCATAGTTGAAGCCCTATCTCAATCATAAACTTAAAGCCTTATCCAAAGAATGCATGTTTCACGGCTATGCCCCCTCTAAAAAAAATTACAAATGTTTAGATATTCTTATTAAAATCTACATTTCTCATCATGTCATATTCAAGGAAAGTGTAATTCCCTATTAGTGCCAAACAATTTCTGTTTCACAATTTTAATCTGTTTGCCTCTTCAACACCTCCACACTTGTTGGTTCCCTCCAAAACTATTTTACCGAATCATCATTTTTACAATTATCCAAACTGAACTACATATCAGTTACACAACCCTACTATTTCTAATCTCGTTGCTACTAAACCCCATATATCCCCAGTCTTTGACAGTTCTTCTGTTTCCATTTATACTAAATTGATCTCACCCATAAATTGTGACCCACCCTCCACCACCACCAGTTTTTTTACCTCCTCCTCCCTCACACTCGTTGCATACTAGAACAAAAACCAGCAGCATTAAACCTTGCTAAAATCTCAATCTTACTCATCAAACAACTAATGATCCTACTACTTACAACATGATCATTAAACATGAACATTAGAGAAAAGCTACATCCCCTGAATTTCAAGATTTACAAGATCAAAGACATAGGAATCGGTACCTCCCACATCCCAGTATAATATTCTTAGTTATAACTGGATCTTTAATACCAAACTTAATTTAGACAGAACAGTGGCTTGGTACAAGGCTTGACTCATGGCTCAGTGGTTCAAACAACAAGAAGGTAAAGTTTTTTTTGAAACTTTCAGCCTGGTTGCCAAAATTTCTACAATTTGGGTCTTTCTCACAATTTCCACTACCTACAATTGGCTAATTCTCCGACTTGATGTTTCCAACATATTTCTTCATGGTGATCTACATGAAACTGTCTACATGCAACAACCTAAAGGGTTTCCCGATCAACTTCATTCTACTTATGTTTGTAAATGTAAAAAGGCTATTTACGGACTTAAGCAAGCACCTCATCAGTGGCATCACACACTTACTGCATACCTTCAGTCTTTTCAATTTCATGTCAGCTCAACTGATTCGTCTCTCTATGGCTACCGATCCAACGACACTCATATCTATATTTTGAACTATGTGGACGATATCTTAATAACTGGAAATGATTCTCATATTATTTATACTATTCTCCAAATCCTACACAACAAATTTAAAATGAAGAAATGAGGCTCAATCTCTAAATTTCTCGGCATAAAAGCAATTCATAATTCCTATGGCCTACATCTAAATCAAGCAACTTACGTTCAACAAATTCTTCATACTTCAGGAATGGAAAATTCTAGACCTGTGCAAAATCCAACCAACACCAGAAAGCCTCCTGATCTCTCTAATCATACTTTATTTCAATGTCCTTCTTTTTATCATATAGTAATTGGTTTTTAACAGCATCTGACTCTCACACGACCTGATATAAATTATGTTGTCAACCACTCCAGTCAAACTATGCATCAACAAACGCAAAACAACTTTCAGTAGTTGAAGTGTATCCTTAGATATCTACAAGGCATCGTTCACCTTGGATTACCAATCATTCAAGAATAATTAGAACTCACCGCCTTTGCTGATGTTGATTGGGTTGGTGATTCTACAGGTTGAAAATTGATTACTAGTTTCTGTATCTTTCTTGGGTCTGCACTTTTTTCTTGGACAGTTAAAAAGCAAGTCGTCATGGCTCGATCCTCTACTAAAGCTGAATATCGAGCTCTAGCGACAACGGCGATCAAGATTGTCTGATTAAGATGTTTACTCCAAGACTTTCAAATTAATCTTATTGCTCATACATCTCCATTGTGACAAAACCTCTGCTAAAGCTCTTACCAATAATCAGGTGTTCCATACCCATACCAAGCACATAGAGATTGATTGTCACTATATATACCCATACCAAGCACATAGAGATTGATTGTCACTGTATCAAAAGAATGCATAAAAAACAAGGTTCTTAATTATAGTTCATCATATTAACACCATTGATCAACTTGTTGATCTCTTCACCAAATCTATTCTCAATTCCAAGTTCAAGTATCTTCGAAAAGAATTGATAATCTTTGAAAAAGATCATCAGTACGAAGGGGGGTGTTAATGTTTCTATATTGTCACCTGGTTCGATTCATTTGAACTAAGAACCTGTCTAATTTATTTAGCTATTGTTCAGTTGTTGTTTTGTTGTTTTGTAATCTGTAAGTAGGACGTGTTATGTACTTATTTAGGTGTGCTTCTACTAAAGAATTAATTTCAATCTTTTTGTTCTTTTTCCCTGCTGTCATTTTATTTCAAGGCCAAGTTTCAGCTAGGGGTGTAAATGAGTCAAAGCGAGCTCAGGCTCAGCTTGTGTTCAACTCGTTAAAAAATATTATTGTTCATGTTCGACAAATTTATATTTCAAACACAAAAAATATGTTTACGTTTGACTCATTAGCTTAACAAGCTGAACAAGAGTTCTTTGCAAATAAATAGTCATTTTGACAACCCTTATCACGCAGCCGTAGAATGTTAAGGGTTGAGGCAAGATTTAAATATTATTATTTTTATTAAAAAATCATTTAAATATAATTTTTTTTATTTTTATTCTATTTTTTAAATTAATAATTTTAAATCTTCATAACCTTATAGTCATATAAGTTTTTTAAAAAATACTAATCTATATATATATGATTGATGACTAGTTTTTCGAGGCAAAATTAGCCGAACAGGAACGAACAAACAAATCTTTGTTCGTGTTCGGCTTGTTTATATATCGAGCGCAAAAAAATTTGTTCTTGTTCCGCTCGTTAACTTAGTGAACGAATCAAACATGAGTTTCTTAACTGTCTGAACACGAATCGTAACAAAGAGCCATTTTTGATAAGCCACCTTAAGTTGTGTTTGAGTTTAATTCTATGATTTTGAGTCAATCCACTGATGTAAATGAAAATAGTTTAAATTTAATTAAATGTTGTAATAAAATAATTAAACCATAAAGAATTAGGCAGCAACATAATTTTACAATATATCTAAAAACTCTATATTTGAATTCTTAAATATTAATATATTTCAAGTTTAACTAATAATAACATTTTTTACATAATTTATCTCACGACTTACGAGGTGAGTCGGGATGAACCAAATTAGGAAAAAAAATATTACATCAGGAGTCTTGATGCATTTCTGTCTCATGACTTCAATGAAAATGCGTCACGTGTCCGAAGAAGACAAACCAAACATTAAAGTATAGAATTTTTTATTTAGTAGATTCGTCGTGTGATGTGGCACAATTTTATTAAAGTCCTGATGTAATTTTATATCAGAACTCCTAACATTACTTTTTCCAATTTAGGCTCGTTAATTGGTTCATGACTCTGCTTAAATACAACTTAGATTTATCCAGCCAAGAGCTTGACTTTAGTTTCTTTCAGTGAGAGATTTTATAATGAAGTCTATATTCTATTGGATAATATTTAATTAAAACTAATTAGCTAACATCACTGCTTAAGTTTTGTCCGAGTGATTTCTTATTGTATATGGGCTGGAAGTGTTACAGCCCATTTCATTTCCTGGCTTACTGCCTTTGTAGCCCATGCACTCTTAGCTTTTGGGCCAGATAGGATGCCTCCCTCGAGCGTTGTTGCGGCACTCTTAAAAAGTTTTAAGAAAAAAAATAAATAAATAAACGACCTTCGATAATCCTTCCCAATCCCCGCTCATCACTGTGAATTCCCAATCCCCAATCCCCGCTCATCACTTCGATAGTCCGAAACAAGCCCTAGCTCACTGTCATACTCGGAGTTGGAGCACCAGGTGACCTGATCGCTAAACTTAGGTTTTCGTGCGGAAATTTCTGGGTGAGTTCGTTTCTCTGATTTGCCTACCTTTATCTTTCTTCTCGCCACCACTATTTCATCCCCCTTCTGTGTTTCCTGCACTGGAGTTTGTTAAGAAATCCTAGTTGTACGATGCAATAAACACGTTTTTTTCCTCCAAAGGTGACGTATTCTAACCGAGGCGGAGTCACTGCTGCCTTGAAGTATTTAAATTTCGTATCTTTTGAATACAGAATACGTTAGAATTAATTGGATTTAATGACGTGAAAGTTAAATTATTGGGCTTATGTTGATTCTTTGATTGAGGTTTTCGGAAGCGTGCTTTGACTCATTATTTTGATGTAATTCTTGTTTTGTCTTCTATGATTGCATTGATTGAATCACTAAACTTAATGTCCATTGTTTCAGGCTGCAAGACAGCTTCATGCTTCAAGAAACCCGATGTTTTACATCATTTCTCAATGCAGAACTTAGGAACAAAGCTTATGAAAATTCATTGCAAACCTTTGGCCCAAGCTAATTTTTCTTTTGCTCCTGTTGATTTAAAAGCTCTTATAATCTGGAGATGCTCGGTATCATCTTTGACAAAATTTAGTAGTGCGCAAGAAAATGACAATTTCTGGTTGAAGAGACTCGAACATAAGGATTGGCTTGCGCCTAATGAAGTTCTGAAAGTGTTTCAAAATTTGACAGATCCTGAACTGGTTATGGATGCTTTCAAAAAGGCCTCTTCTCGGGTGGATTATAAGCCAAGTGAAGCTATATATAGTTTACTGATAAACAGGTTTGCTCGTGCAAAGAAGTTCAATGCAATTGGTGATTTGTTGGATATGGCAAAGTGCGATAAATGCCGGCTTTCTGACGAATTCTTTTACAGAGTAATAAAAATTTATGGGAATTTAGCAAATCATCCTGAGCTAGCCATTAATACACTTTATAGAATGCCAGAGTTCCAATGTTGGCCAACAATAAAAACTTTTAACTACGTGCTTAACTTACTGGTGTGCACTAAACAGTTTCAGTTAACTCATGAGATTTTTCTTAGTGCAGCGAGGTTGGGTCTTTCGCTTGATACTTGTTGCTTTAACATTCTCATCAAGGGTTTGTGCCAGTTAGACAAATTGGAAGCTGGATTTTCCTTATTGCATGAAACCTCAAAGCAAGGTCTGATGCCTAATGCAACCACCTACTCAACATTGATGCATGCTCTTTGTAAGCATGGTAGAGTAAAGGAAGCATTTGAGGTATATGAGATGTTGGAGAGAGAAGGTTGCCATCCTGATGCCATAACCTTCAACATAATGATTTCTGGACTATGTAAACAAGGAAAAATTGATGAGGGCATGGGACTTTTGAAGATTATGAAGCTGAAGGGATGCTATCCAAATTCAGCAACTTATCAAGCCCTTCTGTATGGCTTGTTGCACAACAAACAATATGTCGATGCGAAGAATTTTATAGGTACTATGATCTCCGAAAGGAGATTTCCTAGTTTTTTGTCATACAAGATGGCAATTGAGGGCCTTTGTAGTGAGAAACTTGTTCATGATATGGATTCCGTTTTGAGGCAAATGGTGAGCCAGGGATTTGTTCCAAGGATGGGAACCTGGAAGAAGATTATTCGGTGCATCTTCTATGTTAAAAATGTATATATTGAAGAAGCCAAATCTCTAAACCCAATTTAGTGTTTTTATTCTCTTGGGATGCGGTGATTATAAGATTGTGAAGTAGTTTTTGAATTAACAGCATATTGTCCCCAAAGACAGAAGGTATTACTTGGTATTTCAATTAGTAAACACAAATGATATGAAACCACTTTTATTTTGACGGAATGCTCAATGTGTTTCTGAAAGACTGACTAGTTCACCTGTTTTGAGCAGGATTCTATTTCCAATAATCCAAATGATTTCATGTCCATGATGTGGGGAAGAGGATATGCCTCAGAAGATGACTTTCTCTGCTGTGTTGTGAGTAATTAAATTCTAAAAATAACCTCCATTTCCCGTCAAGTTACTATTTTTTGAATAAAAATTAGTAGATCTGGCAGTGATTCACAAGGATATTAGCAAAGGAAATCTCTCGGGCAGGGAGAGTAGTCTCCCCCGCATTCACAGTTGTAGAAATGATATCAAGGATTCAGCCTTTCGTAACGAATTCATCCTGTTGTTTTAGCTGTTTATCAAAATTGCTAAATTATCTCCATGTCCATCTAGACGGAGAGATTCAAGCTCTGTGCATTAAATTCAGATTCTAAAGAAAACCTTAGCAATAATGTTTTGGGGGCAAGGTTTGATCTCCTGGAAAGTAATGCTGTAAACAATTCTATCATGAATTAGCTTGGATATTGTTTCGTAGAAAAACTTCACCTTTTTGAGAATCAATATCAGCATCACATGCTTTAAACCTGAAATTAATATAATATAATTCTTTAATTGTTAGATAAATCCTAAGCCGCAGAAGTAAACCTTGTAGCCCGAACAGCTATATTGACAAAAGAATGGGAAATGCCATGAATTGTAAATTTTCTGTTTGAACAATTAACACCATTGCTACAACTTTCAATATATCCAATGGCCAAAAGATACATTTGCAGCTTGTGCCTTAGATCCTGAGAGAAAGAGCATTGATTTTAAACTAAAATTACTGAATTGGCATCCTTGACCATCCATAAATTGCCTCAGTTTCATTGCAGCTTGACACCAAAAAAAAAAAAATAATAATAATAAATAATAAAAGAAGGAGAAGGCTTGCTAAATAAATATTGAATATAATGGCAAGAACATTGTACCTAACTCACTGGTTAAACCCTGAGATGAACACTCGCATTACTTCAAATCAATTGCTAGGAATCTCTCCCATTTTCATGCATTTATAGTAGATGAGATTATAAAACCTGTAAACTACTACAATTCATCTGCATAATTGAAATATTTCCAACCTTAATATCATTTGTTTAGACGTGAGGTTTTATTGTGGATTGGATCAGATCACCTTCTTACACTCCTCTTGTTTTTCTTGCTGAGATCAGAAGTTGAAATTTTGGGAACTAATCTTTCCATCATGCGCCTGCTTTCAGCATAACCATGTGTAGCTGTAGGAGTCTCAGCTTTAAACACATGGTGGTCTAGACAAGGCCCTCCACTTATAGGCTGAACCTTACCTAGTTGAGGAACTAAAAACCCGAAACAAATGAGAAGAGAAAGAAACCTACTGAAGCGGAAAGCCATTGCTACTCTACTAAATGAAATGGAATGGATTTTTTTTAGGAGAAGAGGTAAGCTAACTCGCCCCAGGCTTTGATCCTGTAGATATATAGTTGTATTTTCTATCACATTTTATTTTGGTTCTGTATGGATAAAAGCTGAGACAGGCCAGGAATATCTTAAAGCATTAAAGATGCTAGTAAAACGACACCCAAAACAATAGGATTAAAAAAAAGTCCACAAGTATTGAAAAAAATTCATTCGGGTTTGTTTGTCATATCAAATGCGTATTCGAGTATAGTATTTCTCTAAATATGTTTGATTTATCTTAAAGATATCAGATTATCTCAGTCATATATGACAACTCAAATAAGTTGTGTAAGACCATTTTAGAAGGTTGTCCTCTAAGATGCGTGAGTATGACTAAAGAGGAGAGATGATGAGAGTCTCAAAGAAGCTAACTATTGTTCTGCACAAAACAAAGCACTTGTTTTATAGTTTTTTTTATCTTCAATATGGATTCTATTTCCCTTTTTATGCTTTTCTTTTTGGTCATGTAACTACTTTGATATTTTTCTTTTCTTTTTCAAGTTTTCAAATTCATTCAGCAAGGCTTCTTTTCTTTTTCATCCTTTTCTTTTATGGGTTAAGGCCATCCATCCATATAAATGACAAAATGAGATTGGGAAACCTCATGAGCTTAAGCTCCTCTATTTCACTTAAATTAACTTAAGAACGGCTTTACAAGAACATGAGCTCATTCAAGTCCTCATTTGCAGTAAAGCATGAGAAACAACACAACAATGACAATTGGGCTTTCTAAGTTTGATAGCTTAACGGGGAAGTGCTGTGAGTTCGAGCTTCTTAATTCTTAAGTGCTGTTTGAAAAGACAATGAACCATTATTATTATTTTTTTTAAAGCATTAAACTTATTATTTAAATGTTATAAAGAATTATCCATGACTTTTTTATGTGCCTTAAAGAGCTAATATGTATTTATTTGTGATCAAAACCAAATTTTGATGAAATAATGTATTTAAAATGTGCGCCATTCTGGGTAATAATGACAAAAAATTTCTATAGATTTTTCTTCCATGGCAACCATGGAAACTAGTTTGTGAGAATATGATGCTAAATATTTAAATTTATGGGAGGCATAAAATAATAGGGAAAATTACAGACATAGCACTCAATTCTTATGGATTTACCTATCTCACATCCAAACTTTTATTTTTACACACTAGCTTATAGATTTGACTACTAAAAAATAATAATGATTGTTATTTTTCATATGATGTTTGTAATTATGAAAGTTTTGGTATAATATTGGTAAATATGAAAATTTTGGGTTAAAATTTTTTTTTTTAAAAAAAAAACGTCCTTCCGAAGCGGGCAACGGGATTTCAATTCCGATGACCTACAGCTTCTTACGGGCAAACCCCACACCAAAAATAGTGCCGACAAGAGCTCCTCTTAAAACACTTCTTGCATAATAGTGAAACATGTGTTACAACTTACTATAGCAATGACACATTCAGCCGCAAGACGCTCTATAGCTGCAAAGCACAATAGAGATCAAAGAGCTCTTCTTAAAACACTTCTTGCATAATAGTGACAAAGGTTGTTTCACTTCAAATGACATCTTCTTAGTACACTTGATGATATATTTTAAGATATAAAGTTAATTGTTAACATGAATATTTTTAGTGTATGCCTCACATGAAAAGATATTCTTGATGTCTGCTGAAAGATTCATAGTAGTAGAGTAATAATTTAGCGTCTTAGCTTTAAATGAAGATTCAACATCTACACAAATAAAAAGGAATTTCGAGGAGACATCTCAATATTTTATATGAAAAATCTTGGACAGGGACAAAAATCACAGGACCTAGTCCAGTTAAATTAATCCATTATGTAATTACAAGTACATGGGTTTAGCTTTAAATGAAGATTCAACATCTACACAAATACAAAGGAATTTCGAGGAGATCTCAATATTTTATATGAAAAATCTAGGACAGGGGCAAAAATCACAGGATCTAGTCCAGTTAAATTAATTCATTATGTAATTACAAGTACATGGGTCTACTCATCTTCTGAATTAGAGGAGTTAAAAAGTTGATTATCATAAATATACAATAGTAGTTCATCGATAATAGGCATAATATAGCTGTAATAAATGTAGTTCTTAGCGATAGCATAATGCAAGTGCTGAAGTAGGTTATTATGGTTGCAGTAGTCCGCCGTGAATATTCGAGGCGGTGGCTGTAGCACGAGCTTGATGTAGAGGTGTACTTGAATGACAAGGTAGAAGTTGGCCATGTGAGTCATAATTGGTTTTTTTAAGAGTGTTAATTGTCCACGGAGGTTGTAGTAGGGAGATGTAAGTGTTGTGAGTCACTTAAGCCGTGGTCTGGTCATGTTGGTCATAATGGTGAGCTACGATGACATCTATAAGCCAGAGTTAATAGATGTGTGAGTTGTGAGCCACGTAAGCTATAGTAGATCATGTTGGTTGTAATGATGAGTTGTAATAATGTTCGCAAGCCATTAAGGTCGGACCCGAGAGCTATGTGAACTGGGAGCCATGCATGTTGTGCTTCATCACATAGGTTGTAATAGGGGGTTGCAATAATATTTATAGGCCACATATTTTAGAGTTGAGCCACATTAATCTTAGGTCGTCCTATAGGTTGTAGTGTGAAGTTGTAATAACGTTTGTATGCCACAGATATCAGAGTTGGGAATTGTTTCATCACATAGGTTGTAATAGGGGGTTGCAATAATGTCTATAGGCCACATATTTTGGAGTTGAGCCACATTAATCTTAGGTAGTCCTATAGGTTGTAGTCTGAAGTTGTAATAACGTTTGTATGCCACAAATATCAGAGTTGGGAATTGTGTGAATTGTGAACCATGTAAGTTGTAATTGATCACGTAGGCAGCAATGGAAATCTGTGATGAGAGAACCTCATAAGTCTCGAGAAAGTCAGTATTTTCATTACGACAGTTATAAGTAGTTATTGCAAAGAGTTGTCCTTGGATTTTTTATACGACGTTATTCATTATCTCGTAATGGGAGTGTCATTACATCATATGTGTGGTTCGTTATTACGTTGTCTTTGAGATGTGTTGTTACACCGTCTTTGGGGTGTGTTGCTATGCAATATTCATGATAGTGTGTTAGCCCGTCATGTGTTTTTTTACTCCATAACTATGTCGGGATTCTGCAACATACGTCGTGATTCCATAAAGGGACTTGTTGGAATGAGCAGAGAGCGGCCGACGACTGTTGACGGAGGTTAGAGAGCGGTGGTCGATGGTGGTCCGCGACTGCACTAACAGGTGGTGTTCTCTTGAACTTTAATGCAGAACACTGGATTTCGATTCTTTTTTCTTATGATCCCGCTCCAAGCTTTTGTCTTAGTCCCCACTTCATAAAGAGGACGGGGCTCTAGTAATCTAGTAAGTGAGATGCATCTCTACAAATAATGAAGTAATTTAAACTACTCCATGGGATGGCCCGAAGTGATTCCCCCAATATGATGATGACATTTGAGTGTAATAACAATGCCAAACTTGAGTGATCATGGAATCATTAGATTTGTTTCGTAGAGACGCCCAATTTGACTATAAGCTTGCCAAATTTGGAATTTGCTTGACCTTCCAATTAACCATCTGAAGTTTCCAAAATTGGTTTATTGCTTGAAAAATACTTAATTTGGCTTGAATTAGAGCAATTTTGGTGTAATTGAGTCTGTCTCGTTAGCCGATCGGTTTAACTATATGTTTGTGAAATTTGAAGAAAGGTCTGAATGATTCTTAATTTGAGTTTGACTGTTTCTTACACAAAAAAAAGTCTCTAGGTTTATGCCACGCCTTGAGGTTAATGTCAAATTATGAAATTTGTTGATGACTTGTAAATTCTTCCTACGAATTTCATACCAAGCTCCTGAAATTGGCTAAATGGGAAATCAAAGATGCATGCATGATCAAAACATTGATTTTAGGATCTATTGTCATATAAAATTTCTTATTGTAAGGCCATAAAAGATATATATAGGTATTCAAAAAAGGTTTAGTATGAAGATTTAAGATAAAACGGTGAAGCTTTTAAAAATAAAATAGAAGGTTGCTAGTAACACACAATCTTAGAACATTTCCTTTAATTTCAGATTTCATGGAGTGAATAGAATGACATATCTAATCTTAGGGCCAGTTTAGGGTAACTTTCTCAGTATTTTAATTTTCATATTGCTGCCACATATCCGTTGGGCTATTCCTTTCTTACTATTTTTCAAAAATTCCGGGATAAGAAATTATTTTTAAATAAAAGGACCTATTAAAATGTGATAGTTATAAGAGAGATAATGTCTAACTAACTTTTTCATAAAAAAAAGGAAATCTATAATACTCATAATAGCCTTAAAAATTCTATTATCCCCCATAAAACTTACAATTAACTTGGAAAAATTTGCATTCTCCCCAATCAAATCCCTAATAATAATTTGGCATCTCATCCAAAAATATGGATCTTATAATTTACTTTCAAGTGTCATAAAATGCATTCATGTTGGTCACAATTCAAAGTGATTTTTCTTAATTACTAAAAGAGCTACAAAAAATATTTGAATGCTAATTTTTTTATAAACAATAATACGCACTGTAACACACGTTTAAATATCTTTTTATTTTTAATTACATTACCATTTTGAGGAGTAGATACAAGTAAGAATAGGAGTGATGACTAAACTATTTTCAACTTCTGGTTCTTTTTATAATTACATGGATTCCATTGCAATTTTCATCTTATAATTCATTGATAATCCCTCCCCCAAAATATAAAATAAAATGCAATCCCAAGCCAGAAAGATATCCAAAATCCACTGCAATTGCAATTGATACATCTCCAACAAATCCCTATAATCCAGCACGAATTTCGAGGCATGACACAAATCTCGAGATAATCCTTTGAACAAGAAACATTCAAAATCCGATTGAGACTCATTCAGAGCTCTGATTTTAACAAACTTAAAGTCAAAGTAACCGACTCGATAAGGCGGACCCAATGATATCAAAATTAGTCCAATCCGAGTCAACTCAAGCCCTAATCAAGCCATCAAACCAAGTTTGAAAGTATTTCAGACACATTTGGAAGATCAAACGAATGTTAAATTCAGCAAGTTCATAGTTCAATCGAGCATCTCGATAAGACGAATCCAACAAGCCCAATATAGCTCAATTCTCACATCATTAAAGCTTCCAAATGACCATCGTCGACACCCATCGATCGTCGTCGACTACTGCCGACCACCATTGTATGTCGCCGAGCACCTCTGTCATCGTCAATTGGCATCGGTCGTTATCAACCACTGTTGACCGCCATCGGCCATCATCGAACACCACCGACCGTCGTCAATCACCGCCAACTGTCGCCAACTGTTTTCGACCACTGTCGATTGCCGTCAACTACCACCGATTGTCGTCGACCACTTACCACCATCGAACACCACCAATCTAAGCCAATCACCGTGGACCACCATCGATCGGAAGCCATCAATTGACGTTGTAACTTGAAAAATCTAGTAATAATTTCTTGTATTTGAGAAAATAGATCTTTGTAATCGTCAACTTATAGTGAAATTTTATATATGACACAGACTGTGGTTTTTTCTTATATGGGTTTTTCATGTAAATTTTTTTGATGTTATTACTAATTATTTTCTTTTATTTAAATGTGTATTGAATTTTGAATTCTGATACAATGTTAAAGAAGATTATTCGTTAGTCTATCTCCACAAAGATAACGTCATTAATCCTCTTCAAGAACTCTTATTTAAACTCCTCCCTCCCTCCTTCCCTTCAACAAATTCTCCTTTCTTCTGTTCCGCATTTTAGTCCAGCAATGCCTTCCGCAGCCTTAGCCTCCTCTTACAGCATCCCCCCACTACTCCCTTTCACCTACGAAAACTCCATTGCCAACACTCCGCGCGACGACTCCTTCTCCTCCTACCTCGCCATCGCCCGAGCCAACTTAACGCCGGAATTCCCCATTACTCCCACCCCTCTCCGGTCAACACCGCTCCATGTCAACCTCACCAGAAAACGATCCGACGACGATACCGAAATAGACGTATTCGCCGCCGAAAAATACTTCAACCCCGACACCAATTCTCCCGTTGACAAAACCACAAAGCCCTCGCCTTCCTCCTCCACCCCCTCCAACTCACATTCGCTTACGTGGACTGTCCCCGAAAGCAGCTGCGCCGACTCATCCCAAACCCCTGTTACTAGCCGTAATACTCTGCTTCGCGACAGCCGCCGGCGCACGGCTGCCGGGTGCGGGGGGGGGGGG